CATTCTAAATAAAACAAATTACCTATTATTATTTATACGTAAATCAGGGACACACTAATTATATTGTCTTACTTACATATATACTTGTATTATCTTCCGACTTAAGCTTATCATTTATTTAATTTTTCTTGTCATACAAATAAACGCAAATGATATAAAAGTATTAGATATGAAAAAAGTAAAAAAGACAGAAATGTATGTATGGTATTTATATAAAATTATATTGCTTCCAGATAACTTCGTCGAGAAGGAAAACTCGATACTCTACATCGTTGAAGCCGTGAGACCAGTTGACTAGCGCGAAGCAATTTCGGTAGTAAATCCATGTTGCCGAGAGACAACTCCATTCGAGGAATAAGGATATTACTTCAAAGCGCAAGCTCATCCCGCGTCTTTCATCACACCGTGAGAAATCCCCTGCCCAATCAGAACAAACCCCGTGTAAACGTTCCGAACTCGACGGCGGAAGTAAATGCTGAATCCGCACGGAGGTGTCAGGTAATAGTCGACTCGCATCTTCGTCCTCGCAAAGGGAGGACGTGTGTATGTGTGCGGAGGTGGCACTGAGTATTTTCTCTACTTCGCTGCCCTGTCCCTTCACTACCCCTTCCCCTCCTACGTAACACACCACCTTCAAACACACCTCCTTTCTCGCGCACACACGCCGCCTTTCTTTCTCTCCACCTCTGTCAGCTTTCCTCTTTTTATCCTTATTCCTCGTTCCTTTTTTTTTTTCTTTCTCTCTTCCTTTTTTGGTGCTCGCACAGAGGAGATGCCTTTCCAACGGAACGAAGTTTTCCGGGGAAGTAAAGTCATTTCGCTCGTGCAATCTAAGTTAAGTGACTTTCGAGAGCCCTGGCGACGAAACTTACCCCACCGCTTACCTCCTCTCAGAAGCAACCCTTTCACTTTCCCATCGTCCTCGCGCTTTCCACCCCTCCCCCCCCGGCGGAATCCGAAATGTGACGAAGATTACCCTGTATCTAGAGATTCGCGGTCGCTCGGGGCACTTGAAAAATAGACTCGTTTAAGGAATGGAGCCACCGTCCTTTTTGCTAAATTTGCATCACACTCGATGTTACGTAAACTATAAGATGGAACAATTAACTTTAATCAATTATGACTATTTTTATAAGCGATAGTATAAGAATTATTTAAATTAGTAATAGATGTGTGTAAAAAAAAAGATTGCGTTCATTTTAAATGAAATTGAACGAAACTTATATATGTAATTAAAACTTAATTATATAATATTTCGACAAAGATGGATCGAAGTTACATGATATGTCAAATTAATCCGTTCTATCGGTATTATGAAATTTAAATTCATCATAAATATTTCCCATCCATTTGTCGCATTTTGATAATTAAATCACTTCTCATATTCATACTTTTAGAGGAGAAATGCACAATTACTTATCATTAAGTGGATTGTATAACCGGATATGTATAAAAATCTCGTAGTTTTTAAAGTTTTTATGAGAAAGAAGAATAAGATTAATATACAAATTTTTCTGAAAGAATAATCACCTCCGCTTTAAGAGACACATCAGTAAAATTAATAGAAGAAATTAATAGAATAAATTTAGATCATTCCTGTAGTCTCAAAACTTCATATAAATTAATATAATATTCAACTCGTCTCTAATCTTAATAACTCTTACCCTCTTATCCGTACTATCTCTTCTTAATTGATCTTAGAGACATGCTTACACCGCTCGTATAATTCTGGCGAAATTTATATATTTCGACGATAGACCAAAGTTACTAGCAGAAGCTGAATTAATCTGATCTATCGATATATACGTACATATTACAAGATTTGAATTCATCGTATTTTCTATCTATTTACCGCATTTCGATAATCACACCATTTCCTATCTTTTCTTACTTGTGGAGAATATATGTACAGTTATTTATCATTAAATGGACTGCGCCAGATACTAACTAAATTAAAAAAAAATGCTATAAACCTTTCCGACCCGCGCTTTCAGTTCGCGAGCAAATTCACTTCTATGTGTATCCTTTTCCCTCTTTTTTCGCGTACTCGCCGGTGCGCCATATTTCGCGATTAACGTGAAATGTACGAAAGTGCCGTAGCGCAATCTATACCGCTGCAATACACGCATCCAGCGGAACGTGTCGGATCGCTCTACCATTCGGAGTGTCGCGACCACCGGGATTGCCTCGATTTTCGAAGAGTCACGAGCCGCGCCGGCCGCTCGTAAATATGGCGATTTTACTTTTTTTTTTTTTCTCTCCAACCCTCCACCAATCCGTCCAGCCGACCATCCTCATTGCGCCTCTGCGCAATCGACCGACATCGAGTGGAGAACGCCCGGTCCACGATGGTGCGGTGCCGTCGTGTGCACGGATATGAATCACGGGACCGTAAAGTGATATCGAATGGAATGGAGACTTTCTCTCCTAGGTGCGCGTGAGCATGAACCTCGGCCCGGTATATAGTCGGCGACCATTAAAACGAGTGGCTCGTGCCGCAAATTGCTGAAATGACACTCTTGCCATAATCGGTCTCGACGCTAATTCATTCTTTCGCCGGCCGTTTTGCGATTTCGCCTTCGCTTGCGATGCCACAAATTGTGCAACCACCTCTTCCTTTTCTCGTCGATACCCCGTACATGACCCCAAGTTTTTTCTGCCCGCGTTTATTAAAACCCCGGACGAGTCTCGTGAAAAAGTTTTTCCCTCGCGACGCGTTACAATCGCGTTAATTGCGCACTGGGGATGCAAAACGATGCAAACGTTAAAGAGACAGAATTAGATAAGGTACAAGGGATAACACAATCACTTGGCTTGCATTATAAACATAAAAGCGGGAAGAGAATATTCCGATGCTAATTAACATTATTATGCTTACGTTACGCATATACATATGCATAACGTCTATTTGCTCCAAGATAAAAAGAGGAGATACAGTCCCATTTATTTTAATTAATTAAGGTTTTCAAAAAAAAGTTATCAATTTTTGTATAACGAAAACTGTGAAGATCTAATATTCTATATATATTTTTAGAGCCTTATTTTTATAGTCAATCGATAAAATCGTTTTGACATGTAAGAAACTTTTTGTTCTCAATAAGTCAGAAAACTTTTGCAACTCGAGAGAGAGAGGGAGAGAGAGGGAGAGAGAGAGAGAGAGAGAGACGTTCATTATTATTCCAGGATAAACTCCCGAAAAACATAAAAATAAAAGAAAAATGTAACAACAAAAATAACGGAACAATACAATAAAAATAATGTTAATACAAATAAAATATGAAATTAAATTATATAAAAATCAAGAAACGTGTAACAAAGTAAGATGAGAATAAAAAGCCGCAAATTACGAGGTTAAAATTAAAATTAAGAAAAGAAAAAGAAAAAAAAGATACAACAAAGAGAGGTTAAAATTAAAATTAAAGTTAACTTATCTCAGGAAGAGAAAAAGGAAGAAAAAGAGAGAGGGAGAGAAATTTAAAAAATGAGACGCTAATTATCCAGAGATTTATATTATTCTTAACCTTCCGCTGGCAACACGAATTTTAACTATTCCGTCAGCAATAGAAATCTTCGGAAAAAGTGAAATAGCGAATTTTTTACTGTTCCGGATTATCTAAAAAGTCTAAATAAACTTTGGTATATTTGTCAAAGCTTTAACAACGAGTTTCTCTATCACAGTATTATAAAAATCGGATTGTATTTTACTTATTTTTTACAGATTTAAATTTATCTACCAAAATTTATAATTAAAATGTCAGTGATGCTTTTATAAACCTCAGTTGCTGGCGCAAGATTAACATCTCGCATATATTAGTTTTGCGAGAAACATCTAATTTTTTATCATTAAAGCTAATCCTCTTAACAACCTTCTGGCTATGTCACTTTTTATCTCCCTTTTTTATTATATATTTGTAATGATTTTTATTGTTGGTTACGACTTCATGCACAAAATCTATGATAACATAATAATCATTTAGTTTTACAGATTTTCTCTGATGTCAATCTTTTTTCACGCGGTCGCCAACTATCGTTTATTTTCAGAAAATATCGCGTCCAACACGACGACAATTGTAATGGGACTTGTTAACGAGCTCTCTCTTCTCTCTCTCTCTCTCTCTCTCTCTCTCTCTCTCTCTCTGCGAGAGAGGAAATTTTCATGTTTACCGCCACGCGAAAATGTACGCGAGAGTTTAGATTGAATGGAAAAAGTGTAAAGCAGGGCAGAGGATGGGAGAGAGTTTTAACATTTTTGCAACTAACGCTTGTGCGGAGTTGAGATGACATGATGTCACGAGAAAAAGATTGTTTGCAAGAAGAGAATAGATTGTTCTATTAATAAATCAGATAAAATTAAAGTCTGTAGGAGATGTCGGATGAATATGTCAGTTTCAATGTCAAAGTGTGAATTTTCTTATAATCAATTTTAAATCATTTCTGTTATACTACATGTAAATTTAAATAATAATGATTGGTTTTTTTTAATCGTTTAATCATTTTAATCATTTTTATCAATTAATTAAATCGCGATGAAAAGTATAAAACTAAATGACCCTTCAATAAATTTTGCATGTAATATGATATTTGAATATAAAATGCATAAATTTTTTTATTACATTTAGAGTTTCAAGACATATTTAAAAAATTAAACAGACTATTAAATTTATGTTTAAGAAATTTATATTAAAAAACTTCACGTTATTTTACGAACGCAATTAAATAGGTGCCAGTATGAATCAAATGCGCGAATAAAATATAATTAAGTATACAAGCATTTTTATTTTTTTTTTTTTTACGTGCATTTAAATACATTTTATACAGATTTATATTTTAAATAAATTCTAAATAAATAAAAAAAGAATAAATTTTAAATAAATAGTAAAGAGAATACAATAAATTCTTTCAACCACACAACACATATTTAATTCATTCTGTTATTAATTTAATTTTCCCTGTCAATGTTATATTTGTCTTTTATGTAAACATCGAGCAGTCCTACATACCTAAAAGCTTCATGACCTGAGAATGGCTGATGAATATATTAAAATAGCCATCGGTGCAGCCGATCAGAACAAGCAGGACAAAAATCTTGCGCCGCAGGAGATCGCAAGGACCACCACACCACCGCATTGTCTTACATGCTCCGTACGTGCCACACACCTGCCTAATCGGTTAGTTCCAACTTCAACACCGCGTCGTCAAAAACTGCAGGAAAATCCTATACTTCCCTTTGGCATCGACTGCTCGCACGTGGTTCCATTTACGGACGTGCCCTGCCATTTCTCGCGCTACCCCTCAAGATATACAAGAGTCTCTCGATTACTGCGCTCGCAAAGATTTAGCGCGTTTCGTGATCATTGAAAGAAATTATTGCAGAAAAAAATTTCGTCCATCCCGGTGTAGAAAAAAAGCAAATTTTAACAAATTTCAGCGTTTTCAGTATCTTCTTCGCGCGCGTGCTGTCATAAGTCGTTTCATGATCAAGCATGTTCTCGATCGGCGAGACGATCACATGGCACTACGATGCGCGACGACGAGACTAGAGTGGATGTCCTGGCGCAAGGGAGGAGACGACGTCGTCGACGACGACGTCGGTACTCGACTGAACGCCGAGCGACTGAACGTCCGTCGTTTTCGACGACGAGTCCGGTCGCGCTTGCGCCTATGTGGCAGTCACCTATATCACAACGGAACACATTATCCACGTACGTGTGACGGATTGCTAGAAAAACAGTGCGTACGTGCGTGAATCCCGGTGTAAGGTGTAAGTCGCCGAAAATAGACAGCCGGATAAACATCGCGGAAATGACAGGGGAGTCCAGGTTACGAAAATAGCGAGGGAATATGCATTGCATAAAAAACTACTTGAACTCTTTTTCGAACGGTTTATCCGATTTTGCGCTACTGCCGGAATACTGCGTCTGAATGAAAAATCGCGGAAAGATGAGTCGTATTCGACTCGGATATCGAGAGGATAACTTGAACAATCATTGAACATATCTGCGCAATTGTCAATAACGTTTGAAATCTAAAGCGATGCTGCGGTAATCACTAGATATAACTTTTGCAAACGGCGTTATACCGTAATTAGTAAATATTTGCGGTCACTGAGTCCTCGTGATTGGAAATAGGCCAACGGTGACATATCCGTGGAAACGCTTCGACTAAGGATTTTGCGTATTTTACAATATGCTCACCTTTGTCATACTCTTGTCATCAGTGAATTTTTGGGGATATAACACGTGACAGAGAATGAACAATAAATCTTTTATGTAAACACTGGCCATTTTGCACCAAATATGCATAATATTTTAATACTTTTGCGCGAATAACAGAACAGATGCTTTAACTGTCACAAAACGTCCGTTCGTTTGAGATAAATTTATTTCTAAATAATTTATTTATTAAATAATTGATAAGTTATTTGGATTTTGGATAACTGATTATTTAAATTCATATTTAATTTTATTATAGATATTACTTGAAAATCGCCAATTTTTTACAACAAATATTACATCAAGGTATAAAAATCAAATATTAAATACAAGGGAGAATTCCAGTTTTAAGCTGATACAATATACGCGTTTGTGAAGACATGATTTATTCACGAGGATTGTATAATGCGGACAAGTAAAAATCAGCGATCCATTTTATATTAATGCTTGGCGTGTAAACGTAGAAAAATCGGGAATAGAGTTTCTTCGTAGAGCAAACATTTTCACGACGTGTTCCGCAATATAAAACGAATCGAATTTACGATATAATTTCGAAATAATACTAGAAACCTTTGTCGCTCGCAATTCTATCGAACTCGTTATTGACGTGACGACAACAGAGTACCGATTAACGGCCACGACTCGACGCAACGACGAAATTGACGTTCGGCGTTCAATAACATCAAAAACTTTCAATCCACTTGGAGTCATGAAATTCCAACGTAATGGCCCCCACCTTCCGCTCCCACTAGTGTTCTGTATCCCCAGGTCCTCGCCTCGTCAGAACGCAATATCGTCACTGATGAGCTTTAGCCCGACACACGAAAACGCGGAGGTAACGTAACGACGAAAGAAATAATTTCAAACGACCTCGCTCGTTCCGTTCGGATCACCGCCAATTCCTCGTGCAGTGATCCTATGAGAGGGAAAAGGCGTCGGAGGTATCGGCGCGCGATCGACGTCGCTCACTTGTGCGCGTTCTCCGAAAGCGTTAGAATTTAATTAAATCGGTCTCCGACTATCCCTGTCGTGTCGCAGAGTCCACTTCCTTTCTACCCTCTGGCGAGTCCTGGACAGGTCGCAGCTTCGGATTCACAATTTGATCTTCGTAGAGTTTAACTTCTGGAGAACGGACCATTCTCTGTTCCATCCTGCCCTCCGCGATGCTCGACAAAACGGCGCTTTAATTATACCGCGGGATTAATTAACTCTCCGTCGAACTCTCGGCGGAACACACCCGCGGGACTCGCCGGAGCCGATCGCAAATAATTAAAGACCGTTTTTCGTTCGATCCTTCGCTCTTTCCTCCGTGGAACCGCGTTTCCCCCGAGCTTACACGCAAACAGATGCTTCGCGAGTTTGCGAACTGATCTAATATTGACGGCTCATCGATGCGTTGATATTGATGTTCAAATGAAATGTCTTTAGCTACGATCATAAAGATGGTGCATATGAAATATCGCGTGAAATATCGCCAAACTGTACAAGATGATCAACAGAATGTATCGTAATTTATGAATTCTTGTTTTATATTAAAGAAATGTAGTACAAATCACAGGGAAAAAAGTGTCTAAATTTCATATAATTGCATCTCTAACTGTATGCTGTTCCTATATTTTTTCCTTTTTTTTTTTAGCAATGTATTAATAAAGTTTTACTGACGTATAACTTAAGAATATATTTTATTTGGTTTCATCCACGATATTTTTAAATATATAATATTCTTCCATTTTAATAACAGCATATTATTTGGTATAATTTGACTCATCGTTGAAAAACGCATTCTACTTGATTAAAAAAATAATTTTATTACAGAAAAATGTGAATCGACTCTCCAATTCCTGAGGATGCAGTTTGAGCTTCCCTGCGCAGAATCACGCAAGCGTACAGCGAATGTATGTGCACGTATATAAATTGGACGGCACACGAACTCAATCTACACACAGGAAAGTTACACGAATATACCTAAAGCTAAGAGTGGATCTATCCGAATCCATTAAATATTTGAGCGAACGAAAGAGGCTAGGGAAGCAAGCTCGTGGAGGAAGTCTCCCCTCGGCTCTTAAGACCCATATAGTAGCCCAACTCTCTCTCTATTAATATTTACATTTATATTTCTTCCTCGTCGTCCCTCTTATTTCAACTTAAGCCGCCGGGGATTTCAGCGTTCCAGACTGAATTATTATGATTTTCACAATTCAACACACATTTTCGAGCAACTATATTTCGGATTGCACGCTTTCTAATAAACGGTACATATCTTTGTGTATTATATTGAGTATCATCTAGTGTTACATACGCATTACATTGAAAATCAATTCCAGCTTATAATTCCTAACAAATAAATTTTTAATTGTATATTTTTAATAAATTTCTCTATCATTTTATTTCATGTTTCTGTCTTGTGATACCATACATTAAAACTATTTACAAGTAATAAAATTACTTATAAACATAGATTTATAAGTAATAAAACTTCTGTTTAAATTATATATATAATTTTACAAATTTAATTTTGCCAATAGTTATTAACATATATATTGATCTATAATTACTAATATTATTGAATTAATAATATTATCTCAATCACTACATCAATAACTTTCGGAGAATCAAATAAATACTCCACCAAATTCTCGATTAAATCAAGATAAACTAAATATATGTAACATCCGCAAATGTTTGATTGCTGTGGTCGATCGACTATACACATTGACAGTACTCTTATCTTTAATTAAAATGAACCAAGCGATACTTCTAAAAGTTACTTTGTTATAAAATTAAAAAAAAAAACAATTAATAATTTATATTATTAATAAAACGAACATCTAAAATTGATACTTTTCATTAATTAATCTTTTGAATTCCACTTTTTATTATTGTTGTTTACTACGAATTATTTTATCATTTTAAAAAATGTATAAGAAACCTTATCTTTTAATGTAGACTGCTTCATTTTAACATCAAATATGGTTAAATGTAACTTGGCTAAATTTCAATATAAACTTTATAAAAAATTGGACATTTTCAGTTTTTAATTTAATTCAAATTTTTATGCAATAAAAAGAAACAAATCTGTAAAAGCTTTCCATTATTTGCGTCCATTCTCTTTTCTTTGCATATGTATTATTTTATTTTCATTTATCTGTACAACTTATTACTTTTCGTATAATATATTTTATAATTTAAAATGTAAGATAATATATATTATATTATTAAGCTTATATATTTGATTTTATTAACAACAAATTACTCAAAAATATTCGAAATGTGTATAATAACGCAAAATTCACGATTTTTATACCGATATATAATATACTGTAACCGGTACGTTCATAAATAATGATTAATTATGCGGCAGGCAATTATTAATTATTCGTACAATTATGGGAGCTTATTAAGCGATAAATAACGCGAGCACACAAACAAACTGCGATCAAAAAAAGTCACATTAATAAGTTTATTAATTTGTATCTCTTTAATCACGAGAAATAGTATTGTGATTACTGACATATGTGTTATAGGCCTTATGATATTACAAAAAAACGACTGTTACCATTATTATCATTAAGGAAATGATAATTAATTCAATGCTCAAAGCCCCCTTTCGTCGGATACGTGGCATATTATATTATCTCTCTTACTTAAAGTTGAAAAAGAAATACACTCACCGATATTATTCGGGTTCTGCCGTAAACCTAATGTCTCTCAAGCTTCGTCCTCGTTTCAATGTTTTTTCATTGCACACTCATTTCAAGGCAACACTCGCTAAAATATAATTGAGTGCGAATTTAATTATCCGTACATTTCATCGTAAAATTTTGCTTAAAATGATTAATTTTATTTTATATTGAGAATTTTGTAATGGAAATATATTATAACTTATGCATCCTAATTCTACAAATATGTAACTTGATTATTATAATAATAATTTCTACAGTGTATATAACACATTTTATTAATGCCGATTGTTTGTAATATTTTTATCTAGTGAAAATTTTTATAAAATGTACAATTGAAAAAGAGTTATTAAATTTAATATAATATATATTTGAATAAAATTGATTTTTATTTTGATAAAGATATTTATGTGTCAGTAATTTTGTTCTACACATAGAAGCATAAAATAGCATAA